TGAAAGACAGCAAACCTGAACCTCTACATTATTACTTACGTTCTAATCCTTCTCTACCCAAATCAATATATCAATCAATCAGCTCCTGACTAATTCAAACACTTGATCCAGTCTCCTCCCCTCCTCTCCCCACTGTCTTTGCGCCTTCTGTTCTCAGCTACTCCCACAAGCACTTCTCCTCCCACCCTTCCCTCTGCTGTACTTTCTTTTCTCTCCGAAACTCCCCTTTTCATGTTTGGCAGAAAGCTTTTGCTTGCATTCTCTATTAGTCCCATCCACTCTCTCTCTCTCTCTCTTTCTCTCTCTGTAGACCACACAGTAAAATGGTCAACTCATACATATCCATGTTAATCAGAACCATATTTCCTCCTCCACTTCGTTCTTTTCCTCCTCTCCAACCTAAATCCCTCCATTCACGGTCCGACCATTCCCCTCCTCCCCTTTCGGTAGTGGTAACACAAATCCGAAGGAAAGGGTAAAACTTATTTTTGGAAAGGAGTGCAAATTCCTTCTCCTCCCATTGCTTCCTCTAAGTCAAGTAAGCTTTTCATTGACCCCATTGTAAATTGACTTTTAATGTGACATTACAGCAACTAACACACCCTAAAATAACATTATCCTCACCAGAAAAAAACTTTCACACTCGCTCACACTGTGTTCAGCCCAGTTTTTTACAGATCGAAGGGAAGTAGCATCTTCTGTCTTTCTTTCTTTCATTATGGTCTCTCTCATTAAGGGAGACACTCATCCATTTTCTAATAAAACACACCCTGCAAAGCATTCTTGCAGCTCTCTCCTGAGAGCCTCTTATGAAATAGCTCTACTGTCTCTCAACGCACTGAACTGCCCCCTTAAACTTACAAGAGTATCTCAGATAATGTTTTCATTTAAGAGCTCAGTGGGCTATCTCTCTTGCGTCTTGGTCGCTCCACACCCAAACCTTTTCCTTGAATCATACTGAGCTCAAATCAACATCTGTTCCAGTAACTCCTGTTATGTAACATTTTTGGAAGGCATTTCCAAGGCCAAGCCTCCCTACAATAAAATAAAATGAGCATAGAGATGGACAGTGGTCCTCTTAAATAACTGCAGCTGCTTTTATTATGACCTCCACTCCAGAAGCCTGACCCATATGAAGATGAGCACACTGAAGAGGATACAGGCATGAGGAGAAACTTGAGTCACATGGGTTTCAGTCTTGTTGTGCAAAGTGACTATAAGAAGAGAATAAGAGTGGCAGGTTTTCAAACTTAAAAGGGCAAGTCCATTCAACATCAGTCAAAGTGCATACTAATAGCTTTTTATACTCTTCAGAGCTATACCTCTAAAACATAACTCAAAATGATTCCCACATTAGACGAGAAGCTATTTCCAGTGACAGGATGATGGGTGGACATGACACTGTAGTCACTGTGGATCCTCGGCAGCGCTGAGGCAACGATTAAATCATGATAATGGCCCACCATATTTCCAGACATCATCACCAAGCCATGACGGTGTTATCATCAATAACTACAACACCATTACCATCTGCCTGACAACAGCACGAAGCGCAGCCCCCAGCTGGAAATTAGGTGCTGCTGTGATGGCATCTCAAAATATTGAACCCTATAAGCCTCTCACAGCCGGCGCAGCTTTACTACACATACACAGGGAAGTTTCTCACGTGAGTCTCCCTCCTCCTCTTCCTCACACACACACACACACACACACACACACACACACACACACACACACTTTCCCCTAGTTTGTGTATTAGAAGTGTGTTGGTCGTACATTGTGTACCCAGGTCGCAGCTGCGTAGGCTGATTGATGTTGCTACTGTAGATACAGTATGGGCAGTGGGGGTGTTACCGCACTGGAGCAACCTATCGCTGGTTTACTGAGGACGTCAACAGGGGCTTCCTTCTCCACAATGACTTTGCGCACCTCTGAAAATCACTATCCGCCTGATGCTGTCGCACTTATAAATGACACACACATGCACGTGTTGTTGTTGTCGTCACTCCTATCTCCATAATCAAATATAACCCACCTTTAAGCGTCCTAAAACATCAACAGCTGCAAACTGAAACTCAACATGGAAGTGGGGTGCTACGTAGCATCAAAATGTGCTCGCTAGTGGTGTTTGTGATGTGGGTTAGTCCCGAGCCACCTTTTTTCTCTCTTCTATCTGTCCTCTGCCAGCCCTTCTGCTGGTGTCAGCAACATTGAAATAAGAAAGATCACCATGCGCGGAGAAACATACTCAGCAACAAGGGATAAAATTAGCGCAAAGCGGATGCACAAAATTCTCACTAACCTACTGTGCTGCGAGCTCGCTGATGATGACAGGCCTGCACACATTAATACGGACTGCCATGAAAATCTGTAATAAGGCTACGTAGGCTACTTACCAGAGAGCGCGTCCCGGAGCCAACTGCGTTTAGGCAGGAGGTTGAGGTGTTGCTGTCCTGCTCTCCCCTTCGCACCAACAGCAATCCGGAGCTTTTGGTGCATTAGATGTTGCTTTGATTACATAACTAAGGCCAGAGGAGGTTAAAACACCCCCTAAAACCGAGTTTCAGTCTCAACGGAGCGCAGAGCCTACTGTGCAACAACATTGGCGCGGGTGTTTTCATAATCATACAGTCGACAGATCTCCGTCGGCGCGTCTCCGCAGCTAGGTGGCGGACTGGTTACGCTGGATCTTATTTTTGCCCACTTCTCTCGGGGAAAGTTACGTCTCTCCCGCCAGTAATAATGGCTCAGATTGCTCTCGTATGCATACACGTTGTTAACGTGTCAGGGCGACGGGCTGAAGGCTGCAGCAGCGTGCGCGCGGGGTTACTGGCTGACAGCGCAGAGGGTCTGGTGGATGTGCGGGAATGCAATTGCGTGGCCATTTTCATGTGGCCAGAGGAGGAGATAAAACGGCGAATACAGCACAGGATCTCATTGCGGTTCATAATAGGCGATTGGGGAGGGCTATTTAGACGCTTAATAAAATGGCGACGACTTGGCTAAAGTAGGCTGCTCTTGGGTCTAGGGTTTGGGGAGCAGCTCAAAAGTTGTAATGTAATACGGGATTCAGCAACAACGCTAGTGGGGGAGGAAAGAGGCAGGCAGGGCTAAGTACGTATTTAAAAGTTCATGTGAGAGCTGTTTATCATGCATCATTTAACAGAAAATATTGACCCGAGACTGCACTCCCCACTAACACAAAATCTAACATACAAAAAATACACATTTGAAATAAATGTTTTAGTATAAAAATAAACAAATAATAGGAAAATAAGAACAAAGAACAGTAGTAATAATAATAATGATATTAATAATTATAATACATATTTTGCATTATTGCTATTGTTTTTTATGTTCTCTATAGTGTTATTTAGTATTAAAAGCAGTAGTAGTGAGTAACACCATCATTAATGTTGTTTATAGGTCTATATGCAGGGCCCTATTGGCCCCCAGGCCCCGGTTTGCTGTATGTCCAATAGTTTTCAGTAATTATACTGATAATCATAGTTTTTGGCATAGTTTTTTTTACTTTGTAAATTACCTAAAAATAAAGTTTTTAAAACTTTTTAGGGTGCCTCTAAAAGACATAAGAAGAAGTAATGATGCAGGACTTGTCATAAAGCTCTTGGGATTTAAATTACTACAAACCAAATTAAACATATTATACCTGGGGCCACAGCCCTTGGTGACTGGGACCCTGGGGCTGTTGCCCACTTTGCCTTGTTGGTAATCCAGCCTTGTCTGGAGGCACGGCCAGATTAACTCTATAGCCCTAGAGGAAAACATTTTGGGGCCTCTATGGCTCACCCCAAACCCTTATCCCCCAACCTCGTGCTTTTTTGGCTCTGCCTATCAGTTCCCATGCGGTACAGTGTACACAGAGACCCAAAAACCAACCCAGTGCTTCTATTCCAGCATAGGAGTACTGGTACTGGACACAGGTTTTCTGTGTAGGTTGGTCTGAGCTATTTTAGTTAAACACAACTTGATATGCACTATGAGAGCAAAGTATAAACTTTGGAGATAATCATCACTTTCATGACACAATGCAAAAAACAAAATCAAATCTTATACAAATGCACACTAAGGTACAATACAGGTATTTAATCAAAAAGTAAAGATTTTTGCCGTGATGAAAGTTTAATGACAGAACGCTTGTACTGGACTAGAGTGTGCAGAACCCTTCTTTTTCAAACACAATATATACTAAACCAATTTGCAATTAATCAAATTAGATAAAATTTACAGACTGGGAACCTGGGCCATTTTGGGAGCCCAGGGAGTCTGAGGCTCTGGGGCATTTGCCCTGTTTATTATTTAAATGCTATTTGACATAGGCTGTATTGTTCTGTATTTTTTTTTCAAATAGGATAATTATAAAAAGTAAATTGAGGCTCAAGAGGCAAGAAAACAGGAACATCAGAAGTGAAAGGAGGTAGTCGGTGGAGTGAGCAGTAAGAACTTTTGAATGTCATATGTAACAATATGCAACATAAGAATGAGGAATAAAATGAGGCTATACACATTTTAGAATATGACACATATAGAGAAAAGTGCAGGCCTACAGCTCTGAATATTATGTAAAGAGGCTGATAATTATCCACTGATAATTATGCAGGTTTATTTTTCAGTGTGGATACCTACTTTGTAAAAGGGCCTTTTTTTAATCTCGCGAAAGCCACTACAGATCTATTGGTTTACTGAGATTATAAAATTCAAAGTATTGTAATTGCCTTGCTATTGGTTTAAAAGAAAGGGAGCAAAATCTTCCAGGAATCCTGTTAAAACAGTGATCTTTAGTGATACACTATCCTTCTCCAAACCCTTCATCATGTGTGGCAGACCTCCACGGTGTGTTTACAGCTGCAATACGTCTGACTGCATTAATTACCATTACAGGTGAAATGTGTCAAAGTCTGACAAACTCCATTTTCCTCAGTTGTTGTCGCCTGGCTCTTGCCACATGATAGGCTACAAAGAATTGCGATGGCACGGCGTCACTTCCTCCTCTGCTCTGCATGATGGCGGTGTCCAGGGCAGATTAGGCACATTGACTGCGTCTGTAGGTGTGCAGTTTATCGTCTCCTTAAACTACTCCGGGGACATTTGTCAGTGGATGACCTTAACCGAAATCCTCGCCACTGAATATTTAATGAAGTCAGTCGCACGTAAACTGCTTCCTGTGCTGAAATAGCTCCGCATTGCTAAGGTTGCTTGTAAATTACGTGCCTCCTGGGTGCCACAGCTAGCTGTTAGCTAAGTGTTTACACAAGGTTACAGGACACTGGTGTGTATTTACACATGGCTTGATTGATTGGCATTTGCCATCCCTCAAATTTAACTTTAATTAATTTCGTCCTACATGTTTCAGATCATGGCGCTCCACAGACTATCCTTCAGATTACGGCAAACGGTAAGACCACTGTTCACCGCAGGTTGAAGTACTAACCAGGACAGAATATCAGATTTGAGATATTTGTGACTTGGGTCAGCTGCTCTCTTTAGAAAACGTGGAGGCAAAAATGTAATGGATGTTTGTGGTGGTTAAACTGGTGCAAAGCACAGCTGTTGCTTTTGGAATGGTCATTACACAGTTCCGAAATTTACAGTATGTGGTACAAGCTGTGAAGCAGCAGGTTATTTTACATGTCTATCAATAAACTGGCAAATTGAAGGGAATATCTGAATTAAAGAATGAAGAAACCAAACCTAAGAACAGATGGCTCCATGCACCAGGGCTCACTGAATGGTTTGGTTAAGTGTAAAAGTTTTTTTGGACCAACATTCAAGACAGTGCTCCATAACACCAAGTGATATAATGTAAACCTTCATCTTCAAATCTATTTACTGATGTCTGTGACTGTCCCTGATGCTATATGTCCTTTTGTTATGTCTGAATAATGTTCATCTCACCAGTAGAGTTCCATAGAGTTGGTGTGGAGCACAGAAGCTGTTAAAACCCTTTATACAAGCAAGACTGCTTCTGTGAATTGTAATCAAAAATATAATATTGTAAGGGTGCAAATAGTGTTGGAATAAATATTAAATGATTCATGTTATAGTTTACTTTATATACATGAAGTAGGTGGTTTTGTGTTATTATGTTTACAATCCAGAGCAGCACTGTATGTCACTTTGACCAGAGCACAGAGGAATCTATGTGCTTGCTTAAGATTCAGCATCCCTACATTGGCTGTAGACACTGGATGATTCCATTCAGTCCCAGAGGAGGACAGAAAGGATTGCCTCTGTGATTTATCATAGTCTTCGAGTTAAACATTTCCTGAAAATGCCTGCCAAATATCCAAGTCTGATCGACATGACAGATGAATGTAGATTACAGCACATTCGCATACAAGCCGTTTGACTTGGCTCAGGTTTTGTAGAAGGCTTTCATCAGTGTATTAAGGTGTTGTATAATTAATTTATTAGAGTTATATCTGATATAAATATGTTTTTACACATCAGTGTAGTACCAGGTGTTCGGTTCGGATGTGTATGACATGTGAATAAAAGTATTCACTCCAGTAAACTTTTGCAGGTAACACATGTAAGGTCCCTTCATACCAGTGGATGTGGGCAGCAGCAGGAGGCTGTGGCTGTTGAGCCAGAACCTGAGCCCTTTTCAGTTTTCAGAACACAGGAGAATGATCCGGTAAGCAAATATGACTTTACTATTGCAAATGTTGTTATCTTGTTCAACAAACCTGTACAGCTGCTTAGTTTAAGCAGATTTGTGTTTGTAGCAGAAGTTGTCTTTAAGTTTACATGATTTTAGATAATGAGCTCACTGTCTCTTTTCAGGCACGTCACTCAGAGAAACATATCGGACAGTATTACACCATGCCTTCTGCACACATCCGCACTGTGTTCCCCCATGGCCTCCCGTGGCGCTATCAACAACAGGTATGTGTTTATTTCTATGACTCCGTGCACATTATTTTAAACTTACTTACTCAGAAATCATATTTGACTGTATTTATTTATTTATTTATTTTTATTGTAAAATGTGTACCGCAAAGACAAATTGTCATGTATGGTTTTAGGTGAAGACATTTAATGAAGCCTGTGTGATGGTGAGGCAGCCGGCTCTAGAGGTCATCTCTTGCCTGAAGAAAACAGATACCAGCAAACCTGCTGTGAGATATTTATTCTGTATCTTTTGAAACGCATGCTTACACACTCAAACACACGCACAGAGATAAACATCTTCTCTTGATGCTTTTGAATAAATTGTCGTTAACCTTATCAAGTTGTTCAGATGGTTTGAAGGGCAGTGGGAAGACAATGTCTCTATGTCACACGATCCAATTCTGCTATATGCAGGGATGGCTGGTGCTGCACATTCCTGATGGTGAGAGAAACACAATCACACATGCCAAGTGGCTGCCACTGCAGATGTATAGACAGTGACCCTCCTATATCTTCTCTTTTGATAATTAAGCTCACCTCTGGGTGAAGAACTGTAAGGAGCTGCTGCCCTCATCCTATAACACCTCTCGCTTTGATCAGCCATTACAAGCCACCGAATGGTTACGCAACTTCAGAATCACCAATGAGCATTTCCTTTCAAAGGTAACAATTTTTTACGCACTGTGCCTTTATTGACATCAGACGATATTGATACGGGACGCAATTTTACAATATTAATTTGCTGACTCTTACTACACATTGTCATATTATGGCTGGTGGGGTATTACATTCACACATTATTAACAAGCATTTAGGCATTTATAGGCCTTAAATTAGCCTTGACTGTGTCTCCACAGCGGTTTAGGTCACATGCTGATATACACAGAGCCATTAAACAGCTTGATGACACCACCTGAATTAACCCACATGTACCGCCGTAATATGAATAATTTGAGGTAGAGTGTCTCTGCTTGGCACAGTAGCTATATAACAGTGGGCTGAGGGTCAAAGTACTCAGCCAGGCTCTGCTCTTTAGCCTGTGAAGAGGAATATGAATACATGCAACAGCTTCATCCAAATATATATATTATCATATACAATATGGTAAATATTTGAATGACAATATAATGTTTATAGACCATCCAGCAAGTTGGCTGTACTCAGGACTCACATGGCAAATTTCCATTGGAGTTGTAACATTGGTTTTTGATAAAGCACAAAATATCATATTTAGAAGACTCAAAGACTCATATTTAGTTTGAGGTAATCTGAGGTAGTCTGTAACATATTGACACGCATGCAATTAATGTAAATAAAAAGCTTACATTATACCACTAAATTTATATTTAGGGTTGAAATATTAATAATTATAATTTGGATATTTTTTTAGCTTCATGTGGAAAAACATTGGAAACCTGGGGCATGTATTAAAATGAGGACCCTGCCCATGTAAACATGGTCCATTGAACTGTCTTTGATACTGTGCTGTTTCTCGCCTAGATAAAGACAAAGCAGCGCTATGTGTGGACAAAGAGAGAGTTTACCGAGGAGGGAAGTCCACTAGGAGAGCTGGTGGATCAGGTGAGTCCTCTAACAGTGCAAATGAGTGGGAATTTGTCTATCCCGCCCTCACATCTTGGTTTTTCTGGCTCTGAGTATTTATTTGTGCTCATTGGAGATGTGGTTTATCTCAGCCTCCAACACATTTTCAGCAGTTTGTTCCTTCTGGCCTGCAGATCCCCACATGGGTCATTAGAGATTCATCTTTCACCTTGCCTGTCCTTAGTGGTGATCAATAGCCAATGAAATGAGCATGGTGATGGATCAGCACAATATTTTTATACCACTGACAAAGGTGGAAAAAAGCAGTAGATTTATGTTCAGCCTGTGAATTTCTCACCTCTTGCTTCAACTGTCTTGCTCTGCTATTGTTCACCGTATCATTTGCTCCATAATAAGTGACTGACTATTTTGTCTGACTCATCATACAAACTAGTTTTTGGTAACTGCTGATGTAACTGTGAGCTTGTTGTAGGCTGTAATTAGATCTTACATTAATAGCCAGACTTCTGACAGCACATTATTAGACTAAAGAAATCAAATCCGTTTCAAACCTCCTGCTGAGGCATCTCCATTTAACTGATGGATGTTTACAGACTTCAAACTAAAGAAATGGCGCATGATGAAATTACTGTTTGTTACTCAGTTGCTCAGATTTTGTCCTACAAAGTTGTGTTGTTAGTATTTAAAGAGTACTCCACTTATTTGGCATTGTACTCCTGTAACATTGTCCAACTTGGATGGAAAAGGGATCAAAATAAAATATTTCTTTATTACACACATTCTTCTTCCTTGTCAAAATCTGGCATCTACATTACCCACAGTGCAACTCCACCGCCAAAGAGTTTAGTTGAGAAGTGTGTTATGCTAGTAGCAGCTAAGGTAGCATTGAGCTGTTAGCCTCAAGCAGAGATGTGGAGCGGGCTACAGAGGGAAAGCTCAGTTATTTGTAACGCCACACTTCCAGGGTTTTTTCATTTTCAATCTTGTAGTCTAAAGCTGATTCAAGTGATGTACCTTTTAATTATCAGACTTCACTGAATTTATCAGACTTCACTCAGCTCCCTCCGGATGCCACAATAGAGTTTCATAGAACTTCTTTCACATATGCAGGAGTACTCTCGGAGACTTGTTAACAGACTCTGCTGTGTGAAATCGGTGGAATTCCCCTGTTGATTTCCCTTTTGTAAGATGGTGTTGCCTTCGCCGTAGGGTATATCTCGCGTGAAGAGCAGCAGCGATGTGGTGGGGGCGGTGATGAAGGAGCTGAGGCTGCAAAGCGGGCAGCCAGAGTCGGATTTCCGCTTGGCCCTGGCTGTAGATGGTGTAAACGCCCTGTGGGGAAGATCCACCATCAAGAAGGAGGATAAGACTGCTGTGAGGAAAACGCATAAAAAGCCTGTCATGCCTCCATACTTTTCTTCATGCTTCTCTTTCAGTTTCCACAGATAAGAAGTCTTATGTGTCTCTTTCTTGCTGTCCATCAGGTGGATCCAGAGGAGCTCACTTTGGTTTATAACCTGAGGAAGCTGATGAAGAACGACTGGGTGAGAACAAAACACTAAAGGCATTGCATTAGAATATTATATTTCAGATCCGTCCCCATATTAACATTCACGCTCTTTATCTCAGACTGGAGGCGCCATCATCACCACTCTGTCTCAGACTGGGTCTCTCTACACTTCAAAATCTGCCTACTTGCCTCAAGAGCTGCTGGGAGAGGTCATTTATTGTTCTTTATAATCTGTAGCACTCGCCCTCAATCTCTGACAGAAGATTAGCCTTTTTGTCGTTTTCTAAATTTGGTCATTAGTCAGGAAATTGCAAACCTCGAGATGGCATCACTCCAATCCTCAGGACTGCTGGCCAGAAGTTGACTTACAAATTATGGTTATTATGGTTATGCTTTGTTCTTGCTTTGTGGGGAGAGTCTCAACTTGTTATTGTCTGTGAGCAGCTAAACATCCAGTATATCCAGTAGTGTTGCCAGTGTACACCGTACAGATGACTTGTGACATTTGTCCTTTGTTTTGCGCATATAAGCTTGCCCTTTGTACTAACTGGGCTGTTAAAAACACAGGAACTTAATCATCACTGAATTATCAGATATGCCAGTACTTTGTGTTCATTTAGTTTTTGCCAATAGCTGTACCTCTTTGCAGTGTTATACCGCGTCATTGTGTTGTTGCAGTGGGTTGTGATATTATTTATAGCAGTCGTATTTATCTGATGTCTGTATATCATAACATCAATTTCCTAATGGACCAATAAATCCACCTTTGTCACCCACCTCTTCCAGAAATGCTGGGCAACGACAGAACTGTAAAACTCTGCAGGGTCATATATCATTCTCACAAAATTAACTAATATTAATAATATTAACTTCTGTTCTCAACCACTGACTATGTGGACTTGACATCATTTTGTCTTTTTTAATAGGTTGATTTATATTTAGAAATATAAATTCTATTTATGTACTGTATACATTACATAAAATGTGTGATGTAAAATATGCATTATTATGCATTTTCCCCTTTCTGCATTTAAATTATATATAGATATTAATATCTGTAGTTTGAATATTGTAACAGCTTCTGTGGTGCATTATATATGAAGATATGCGTGTCTGTATTTTTTATTAACGTAATAGTCATTTATTGGATCTACATGTCTTTAACTGTGTTATTTGATGTTTTCTTATCTGAATGTGCTATTTAAAGGGATGACCTGATGTTCAACATGTCTTAAAAATGCATATTTAATGTGCAGCATGTTGAATTCCCATCTGTGTTTTGTTCACCAGAGGGGGTTTGACTGCATGGACCCATTCGTCCCGGTGTCAGTGCCCAACTACAGCGAGAAAGAGTTTGAGAGCTGTTACCTCTACTATATGGACCGCCACTGGTTGCAGCATCCACAGTGTACGTGACGATACTGTGAATGCTTTGTTTTGTAAAAATACATTTAAGTGATGCTGTTTTAGTAACTTTTTAAATTATTATTTTTACCTCATCAGGTCAAACAGAGGAAGGAAAGAAAGAACTCATCTTTTTGAGCAACAGAAATCCATCAATGTTGGACAGAATTTGCGCCTTCCTGTGAAGTTACAGAAAGACTTAAATGTCACTCATACACACACATAAATATCACACACAAATATCATTGTCCCAGAAACAGATAAATATACAATCTAATATCCATGTCAATATTAAATGTGTCCCTCTGTAAATTATGATGTTACTTTGATAATAAAATGCTGGAGAAACAAATCTGAAAGTACTTTTTATGAATGTAATGGTGCTATCTGCCAGTCAGCAGGTAGTGCAACTTCTTTGTTTGCAGTTAAGGTGGGAAAATAGATGCAGAAATGGGCCAACCTTTTCTTAAACCGATATTTGAGACCATGCCATGTTTGTTTGACAAAGATATTACAATTTGTATAAAGAAATTTAATAAGCAGTGAAGTAGTTTTTTGCAAGCAATTCTTAGATCTCAGGTTCCCTCCAACAATACTGAAACATGTATTAAAAACTCAGTAGTAAAACCAAATTAGAATCCTATACATAAATAGCGCAGCAGCTATAGTATAGGAATAAAATATAAATTATATAAAATAATGTATAAACTAATGTAAACACACAGTTATATTATGTGCCCTGCCAAACATCTGGCCCATCCCACATGACACAAGACACTAATATTTTACAAAAATAAAATTTTACAGTAATACATATACAAAAGATGTATAAGTATACTGTGATAGGTAAACAGCCTAAAAACAAGTAGTACAATCTGTACTGAGAGTAAACAGGTGTATACAGTAAGTAAGCTGGTGGAACCAGTACACTAGGATATGTATGTACAGTACCAGTAAGTATAGATTAGATTAGATAGAGTATCAGATCAGAGCAGTCAAACATATATAAGGCCAAACACATTCCTGTTTACTTGTTTATGGTGCAGCACCACCTGGCTGCGGTTCAGACTATTGCATGGTTGTTCACGTGACAGTTGGAAAAAGTCACGTGACTGAAACTCCCTTTTTTTGATCGCCTAACAAAGTGGCTGTTATGGCAGACTGGACAAAGTGTAGGTGACAGTCAAGTGTTAATACTTTAAGTAGTCTCCAGGACATGCCAGAGTATCTATCAAGGTGAGATAATCTTCTCTAAACTGCTCTGAATGACATGACAATAAAATGTATGTGTCAGCTGAATGACAGGAGCAGTTGGGCTGACGTATATTATATTAATCAATACGTATATTTTACCGTTTAAAGTGCGGCCTGACGTTGATTTAAAACGTGTTTCATCGATCATCATTTGAAGGTGCAATTCTGTAGCCTAATCTGGATATTCTCTGTCTGTAGATAAAATGGCGTTGTCGTTGCCATCACCTATACTTTTGGTCATTGTTTTCTTCACAGCAGAAGTAACCCTCTGTGCAGGTAACACGCCACAAAACAGTTGGTTTCGGTTGCATTTGTCCCAGTGCTGGTATCCACTTCTGTTGTTTGCGAGGTGGGGGAAAAACACGTTTTTATGACTTCTTGTCCATCTAGGAAGCAATGAATGTGTTGCCAGACACTTCGGCCACGATTCTGTGGTGTGTGAGTGTAATGCAACCTACTGTGATAGTGTTGGGTCACTCACCTTGCCTCCACTGGGCTGGTACTCCTCCTACCTGACCACCATGGCAGGCAGCAGACTAGAGGCAGGCCAGGGTCAGGTCCAAGTGAACAGCACCAGGGCAGGTGAGTGATGTGAGCTTTTGCTGGGGTGTCTGTGGTGTTGGAGCAGGTGCAAAGCATTAACTTTTTTTTTTTTTCATGTGTCTCTTTAAGGCCTCAGGTTGACTATAGTTCCCTACCAGAAGTACCAGAAGATCAGGGGATTTGGTGGAGCTATGACAGACGCAGCAGCCATTAACATCCTGTCTCTTTCTGCTGGTGTACAGGACCAGCTGCTACGACAGTACTTTTCCCCTGAAGGTACGCAGCAAGTGGCCACCTGTAGTCACTATCAAAAGAAAATTCACATTTATTATTCTTGTTTGTCTATTCACCCATGTAATAACCCATAGCAAACAGTGTTTTTCACACAGCAACGGTTGTGCAGCTCCAACATAATGGAAAAAATACATTTCACACATTCTGTGAGAGGTGTCTCTATGTGCAGGTTAGTTTGTTTCCCACATCACCACAGTCATTAGCAGCAGCATCCATACCGTCTCATACCAGCTGGGCTATATCATGATACTAAGAAGGATATTTTCCTAAATATATACATACACATCATTTAATGGCTAAAGTAGGCAATGCAGAATCAAAAATTCAAACTGAAATTCCACTGATACGAGACCAAACAATTTATATTTGTGAAATAAAAACTTCAGTATCAAATTCTGGGTAACACTTTACTATAACTTCCTCTATTTAGCATAAGTACCATATCATTACCATTTAATAAATGTTTGATATTAGTCTTTCTTGTAGTTGTAAGATATGGACTATATGGGCTATGTGTTTATATAATAGTATGGCATATGATTAAATATTATAATATCGACAGTATCTGGAAACAGTTAACAAAACATAGTTCCTGTTATTAAAACTCTGTTTTACCGTGTTTTCATTTATTATCGGTTTTATACACCAGCTTCCACTCATGGGTGCCCACAGTAGGAGTTATATTTGTTGACAAATACATTAATGTACAATTAAATGTGCTTACTACTACATTATATTGTGCTATTAAACCATTAGTTAATGGTTTGTGTAAGGCTTTTAAATGCTAAATAGAAATGTCTAACAATATAACATGATAGTATTAAATTATTATTATTTTTATGATCAACTGTTTTTATGACTTAGTATGTGCACGTACCAAATGGGAAACACGCTGTGTGACACAAAAGCTATTATTAACCTCCCGCCCCAGACCAAAATCCAGATCTGAGATCCCAGACTCAATACCCATACTCAAATTGCTCAAAATGAATAATGTAAAGAAGGTGTAAACCCTTTGGTTAGAGTAACTGAGTGTATATCGTCAAAACATTTTCTCTCTGTAAGTCGCTAAATGATAATATTGGATTATGACCCGGCCTTAGTTGTTATTGATGCTGTGTCCCTGGCAGGTATTGGCTACAACGTGGTGCGTGTGCCCATGGCCAGCTGTGACTTCTCCACCCGTCTGTACACATATGCTGACACACACGGCGACTACAGCCTGGACAATTTCACACTGGCCCCTGAGGACATCAACATGAAGGTCCCCCTCTCATCTCATCTCATGTCTCAGACATACACATGTCCCTCACTCCATCCCTCTAATCGCTCCTCCTCCTCTTCTTCTGCTCAGATCCCTCTCCTGCAGCGTGCTCAGGTCTTGTCTCCTCGACCCCTATCTCTTCTGGCAAGTGCCTGGAGTGCCCCCGCCTGGATGAAAACTAATGGTGCACTCACAGGAAAGGGCTCCCTGAAGGGCAGGCCTGGGGGCAAGGAGCATAAAACCTGGGCTCAGTACTATATCAGGTGACATGTGGGGCTTTAATTTAATGTGATGTCACATGTTGGTAGTGCTTGATAGAATGGAAACTTATTCTTGTGGTCTCTTTTTTTCTGTTCCTCTCAGGTTCCTTGAGGAATATGCTAAACATAACGTGACCTTCTGGGCATTGACCACAGGGAATGAGCCCTCTGCAGGACAGATGACAAACTACAGGTGTCTCCTCCTCTGTATTACTTAGAACTTAACCCTCATCATGGCTCCTAAATTTCACATCAGACTGAGAAGTACCTTTGTCTCACTGCAGTTTCCAGGCTCTGGGCTTCACACCTGAGGAGCAGAGGGACTGGGTGGCTCTGGACCTGGGCCCTGCCCTGCATGCTTCAGCACACCCACACACACACGTCCTCATTCTGGATGACAACCGCCTGCTGCTGCCTTACTGGGCTAAAGTGGTGAGCCCAAGGACGGAGAGATAGTGGGGAAAGTCATGGTAAACTTTGTTGTACCTGAGGGTACACTGGTGGAAACATTTTCAGCATCAATCAATACAAGTTGAAAACAATACAAAAAAAATAAGGTAAGTGTTAAGATGCTGGGGGGAACTAGAATAAGTCTTGTTAGCTGTCATTCACTCAGTAGTGAAGCAGCTGCAGGAATGAAGCACTTCAATCTTTGGGCTCTAAATTGTTCTCTGGAGGAAAAAGTCTAAAACTATCAGAATCAACCTGATAAAAGGCAGTTTCACAGAAAACCAGTAGAGACTACATGGTTTAGCATTCTTTATCAAATTTTTTTCAGCACTTCCCATCAGTATATAAGAATAATTCCTAGTGGTATAATCAATTACATTATGACAACCTGGAAACAGGTGAGCAGACTAAAATGTGTGGATGGATTAGCCAATTAAAAATGATAAATTCATTTATGTTTATATAAGTTTTTGCTAAAATCAACATTTTCCCATTATGAGAAGACGATGGTGCAGCACAATCCACTGTCACAACAAAACCACATTTATATAGCCGTCTTAAATAATTAGCCTCGCTTAAGTGTGTACTGTTGTCTGTCATTGTATGTTGTTATTGTCTGCTGTTGTTGTTTGTGTGTATAGTGCTGTGGAAAGGAATTTCCCCCAGTGGAAAATAAAGTGTAAAGTCTATAGGTGTTTGTTTCCAGAAAGCCCACATTAGATACAAAAATATTAATTAGAAATTAACCAACATTCCTGTCTACAGCAGGCAAGAGAAAACATTTAAGCCTAAGACTTTTTAATATCTTCAATGCTTTTTAAGACTTTTCAGTACCTGCAGATGCCCTGAAGAAAAGGACACTGGTGCCATTTATTGCATGCATTTAATGTGAAAACTCAGTTGTGACCTAAGTCTTTCCTTTCCCCTTGCCCCTCCAGGTCCTGAATGATGTTCAGGCAGGAAGGTACATTCACGGTGTGGCAGTTCATTGGTACTTTGACAGCTTTGTCCCAGCAGAGATAAGCCTGGGAGTCACCCATCAT